GCACGAAGGTGAGGCAGACGTGAGCACTCTTCTGAATTAAGCTTGCATTTTAGCCTTCTAGGAGATTGCGAACAGTAACAGAGGGGTCATGATCGTGACTAATCAGCAAGGGACAAACCTGTAATGAACAGGCAGCCGAGACGGGGAAGGCGTGGATGTGAAGGTTAACGACAGGCACTTTGCTAACTGTCCCACGCGACTGCGGCCACTGTTTTGTTCTCTGCAGTTCAGTAGCTTGTCTCAAAATGAACCCAAGGTGAACCCTGCCAACCATAGAAATAAGCAGGTTCACACACAGTGGCCCCATAAATCCATTCAAGGTCGAACTAAATGGAGTCAAATGCGCACTATCCAGACAGAGGTGGGTCTAAAAACAAACTACGGACCTGTTAAGAGATAGGAAGTCATTTTGAAACCCATTTGCTGGAATTCCCCGACATTCTGCGCCTTTGAGAGGCAGAAAGGAAATCGAGGAGAAAGAAGGCAAGGTCTGCCTTGCTTTCAAAGAGGGCCTTCTGTTCTTTAAAGGCAGAAACCCTGAGGGAAGCTTGCAGGGGGAGAGGACGGCTTCGGCACCTGCGAGTGGGGCCCTCGCAGAGGCCACAAGTGGCTGCAAATGTCTTCCGGTTTCACTGTTTTGGGGAACTATTTGAAAAGCTAGCTGGATTCATTCCAGATGGCCACACGGCTGTGGCTGGTGGAACTATTAAAATCCGGAGAGCAGTCAAAATAGCCCTTGGGTCTTGACCGGGGCCTTATCCCCCAGTGAAGGAGGCTGCAGGCTCAGAGGGGCCCTGAGCCGCAGAGAGAAAACAAAGATGAGGGGAGCAGAGGTGAGGGGAGCAGAGCCCACAGTCCTTTTCAAGCCGCCTTTCTCAACCCGCTTCTATGAAAGTGGTAAGCTCTGCAGCTCCTTTTTTGGGTACAGCTACTTTTTGGGGTGACTATTATATTAGTTCTTCCAAAGACGGTCCATAACCAGTTCCCAGAGGCACTGGTGAGAAGGTGATTCCCCAAGTGCAAGGTGTGCCTGAGGGTGCTGGGCTTAATTAAATGAATCCAGGGGCCTGCCTGGGAGGGCTCCAGGCTTTTGGGTTCTGGGTCCAAGGAGAGATCCTGGCAAAAAGCATCCAAGAAAGGGGAAATCGGGTTCCAACTGGTGTCCGGGCCAAAGTCCCCTCGGCTGGAGAGGCTGTTGAAATGGGAGAAGAACAGGGAGACCAGGGAGGGTGGAAGGGAGTTAAAGTGACAAGAAAGAGCCTTTGCAGTCAAGGGCCAGAGGGGAAGCCATGGGCATCGGGCACAAGTTCTGGTTTTCTGTTTACTGAACCCCGAGCCCATCTGCCCGCACGGTGCACGCACACACACACACACACACACACACACAGTCGCCGCACTGAAGGCAAACTGGCCACAGGCCCGGATGGCAATCCTGGCCCCGACAGCCTGCCTGGTCTTGTGTCCTCTGGAAAACCAGCTCTGCACCCAGGCTGCATAGGCCTGGCTCCTGCCGGCTCTGTGTCCAGGAAGTCCCGCTGAGCTCCCTAATCCAGGGAGCTCACTGTTAGCCGCCAAGGCACCCCACTCCCGAGGAAGCACCTAATGAAAGCCTCATGTGTCAACACTGGCTGCACAGACACACTTAGGCTACTCCAGCCGGGCCTTGAGCCGAAGGTATGACCTCACCATCGGGCAGACCGGCAGGGACCCCAGAAAGAGAAGAGCGGTGTGTGGGCCAGACCTGTTCCTAATCATGGCCAGCTGGGATGGAGGGAGACACCCCCGGCCACCAGGGTCTGCGGGCCCCAAGGCACCGTCATCTTCCAAGCTAAGAATCCTAAGCTCCAGCCCAGACACCCCATTGTTTTGGCATTATCCCCATAAAAGTGTCTGCCATTCCAGAAGTTTCATGCCAGAGAATAACTTAATTCAGTAAGGCTAAATCTCTGTGGAGAACTCCCAGTTACAGAAGCTAGAAAGGAAGGATACAATTAGGACCTATTTTTTGTTGTTGTTGTTTGTTTTAACAGAAGCTCAAAAGGCCCGTTTAAGAGAAAGCCGCTGAAAAAACAGCCCATCCATAGCCGGAATGCAGTACCCCAGAACTGTCACTTAGCAGCGTCACTTACACAACTCTTAAAGACACATTTCAGACTCAGAGTGGGCCTCTATTGCTTAGTTCTTTTCACGCTTAGGCAATTAATAGACTGGGTAGGAAATTCCTTCTCCGTACACTGCTGCCCTGTCTTAGTATGTTCTGTATTAAATCTTTTGTAGGAAACAAAACGGAACCTCGAAGAAGATGAGCTTCAAATGTAAAGAAATTCAGGGCGCCTGGGCAGCTCAGTCAGTTGAGGCTCTGCCTTCAGCTGAGGTCATGATCTCACGGTCCATGATTTCGAGCCCCACATCGGGCTCTCTGCTGTCAGAACAGAGCCTGCTTTGTATCCTCTGTCTCTCTGTCTCTCTGTCTCTCTCTCTCTCTCTCTGCCCTTGTACGCTCTCTCTCAAAAATAAATGAACATTTAGAAAAATCTAGAAATGTGTTTTTACCTGATGGAATCCCTGCAAAGCGGCTGATGACCTCAGCTTTTGTTAAAGGAACTAATAGAAAATCTCTGCAAGAGAGCTGTGAAGTTCTTTTAACTCCTGGCAAGTTCTACCTAGCATTGCTGGCTGAGTAAGATAAGTTGTAAATAAACTGGTGAAACTTGAAAGCTCCTAAACGGAGTCCCCAAATGGAAATTTGCCACCCAGCACACCAGATCCCCTGGGGCTCCAAGACCTCAGGGAATCAGGGGAAGTTTGGTCGAGGGAATCAGGGGAAGTTTGGTCGACAATGTAAAAACTCCCTGTGAGCTGAGACACAAAGAACAGGATGGACTGTGATGCGGATCCTAAGATTTCATAGGAGTAACTCACCCACAAGAACCCTGGCTCGTCTTTTTATTAAACGTAACTAATTCCATTTGCTTCTAGTCCATTCCACTTAGGTTTTGTTACAGGAGTCGTGGGCAGGGACTCAAAAGTGCAAAATCTCAGTTCCATAAACAGAGGTAGAAATGAAGATTTCTATTATTTTAAGAGGGAAACTTTTTCTGGAAATGTGTCTCTGAGATGATGATGAGCGGGGGAGTCAGTGGAAACCAGACTTTGCTATACGATATGTGTTTGGCTCCAGGTTTTCAGTAATATCTAAAGCAAGCAGCTAAATATAAAACAAGGTCAAAGGGCACCTGGTGGCTCAGTCGGTTGAACATCTGACTTTGGCTCAGGTCATGATCTCACGGTTCGTGGGTTCGAGCCCTGCATTGGGCTCTGTGCTGACAGCCAGCTCAGAGCCTGGAGCCTGCTTCAGATTCTGTGTCTCCCCCTCTCTCTGACCCTCCCCTGCTCACGCTGCCTCTCTCTCTCTCAGAAATAAATAAAATATTTAAAAAATTTTTTTAAAAATAAAAAAATAAAGCAAGGGCAAATCAGGCCCACAAGGACGTGATGAATCGCAATCGATCAGAGTTGTGAGACAAGACTGGGGCGGCTCCTACCACTGAACCCCCCGAAGAAACATCCCTTTCCTGAACCAGAAAATAAATGGTCACAGCCACGCTTGGTGGTTGGCACTGGGGTTCATTCACCATGTGGCCACCCTTATTATCAGCCTTCCGGCAACTCCAGCAAGGCAACAGGAGAGAGAACTTTCTTCCAATCAGCCTGCAGGCCAAGCAAACACCTCCCTACCACAGTCTTTTCCTCTGGAGGACTTCCTGACCCCCTCCTCCACTTCCTATTTTTACTTGTGTACTTGACGCTCTACCTGAGAGTTTCAATGCCCACCACGCTGGACCCCTGAGACCTGGGATCAAGCTGCTCTTCAGAGGGGGAGAGTGTGTGCCGAAACAAAAATAAAAATAAGGCTTTTTTCTGGGACCATTGGTCAAGGCAAAATCTAAATGCTGGGAGGGTCGAGGTTTTTAGGGCAGGAAAGAACTTTAAAGATGTAATGTGTCATTTTTTTCGAACTTCTTTCAAGTACAGTGAAGCCTCACTCCCCCTACCACTGTGAGGTTGTATATAGAAACCCAGTAAATAAAACAAAGAGAAAAGAAGCTATTATGCCCAGACAATGGCATACGATTTGGCCACAGAAAAGAAAAAAAAAAAATACTAATACGTGCTACAATATGGATAAACCTTGCAAACGTTATGCAAGTAAGAGAAGCCAGTTACAAAGGCTACACCTTGTAGGATTCCATTTATATGACATGCCCAGGGAGGAAAATGCACTGAGACAAGTAGATTAGAGGTTGCCTAGGGCTTGGGCCATAGAGGGACTGAGAGGTGGCAGCTAAGAGGTCGAGTTTCTTTTCGGAGTGGTGAAAACGTCCTAAAATTGATCATGGCACTGGTTACCCAAGTCTGTGAATACGCTAAACACCACGGAGTCACACGATTTAAGTGGGTGGATTTTATGGCGTGTGAGTTCTAGCTCAGTAAAGCTCTTTAAAAGTGAGGGAGGGGAGGTGGCAAGAATTATGGTAGCCATTCCACCAGTCCAGCCTCCTTCACCCTGCTCCATTGGCAGTCTCAGAAGCACCTCTGCAGGCCCTGGGGACTCCGTGGGATATCGTCTGCAAAATGCTGATCTAGCCCTCAAATGTAAACCAAGACACGAACCCAAGTCTTTTGACTCCAAGTTCAAGGCCCTTTAAAACAAAGGTCGCGCTGAGGCACCTGGGTGGCTCAGTCAGTTAAAGGTCCAACTCTTGGTTCTGTCTCAGGTCACGATCTCACAATTCGGGAGTTCAAGCCCCTCATGGGGCTCTGCGATTGGGGCTCTTGACAGTGCTTGGGATTCTCCTTCTCTCCCTCTCTCTCTGCCCCTCCCCTGCTCACACTCTTTGTGTCTCAAAATAAATAAATAAACTTGGGTGGAGGGGGGGAGAGTCTTGCTGACAAGCTGGGGCTCATCTCAGGGGCCACGCCGCGTGCCGGGGTCTCACCGTCCATGTCCAGGCGCTGCATGATGATGGCCAGCTCCACCTCGCTCGGCATGTACCCCAAAGAGCGCATGGCCATTCCCAGCTCCTGCTTGGAGATGAAGCCGTTCCCATCTCGGTCCAGCACCCGAAAGGCCTCTCGGATCTCTACGAGGGGGAAGCAAAGAAAGTCCGATGGTCACATGGCTTGGTCTGTGGCACTGAGATTATTGGTGAGAAACAAGGAAGAGAAGGGAAAAAAGAAAACCAGCTTCGGAAGGCCCAGACCGTCCTAAAATACCGCGGCCGGTGCACGGGTGGACGGTGGTCCCAGCTGAACTTGCATTCAGCTTGCGCTAACTTGCGTTAACTGAGGACACTGACTGGGCAGGAACGAGCTTAGGAGAGAGCTGCCTCTTAACTTGGGCCATTCCTTTGCAGGAAAGGAGAAGAGATTCCCCTGTGCTGACCAGTGTTTCAGCTCCCTGCCGCTGTGGGAGAGGTGCAGAGGGCTCTTCCGACCTCCCCGGAAGACAGGAGTTAAGTATCCTGCTGTTTTTATCTCATGCCTCTAATTTACAGCTGTTTCATGGCTATAAACAACCTCAGATCGATAAGAGTGTCAGAAAAGCCCAAAAGGATCTTTAATCACATCCTCTCCAGACCAGCGGAGAACTGGGCTCCGCTATCATGCCACTTGGCAGGTGATCGCCCGTCCCCTGACCCCCAACCTGAGCTGTTCTGCATTCCACCCAGAGCCTCTCCCTCTGGAGCCCCTGCAGCCCGTCAGTCCCGGGCCACACATGCCACCACCACAAGGCAGGGCACGGGGAATTCAAGACCGGTGTCTGGAGATGACAGGCTCGTCAATGGGATCCGAACAGCAGACTTGGCCGGCTTTGACTTTTCATCAATAAGGCCCGGGCAAGCCCAAGTATAGCAGCTGCCAACATCCATCATGCTGTTCAACAAGTAGTGGCCATCTGTCCCCGAGGAGCACGGGATTCAGTACCGCAGAGAACGAACAACAATCCACTGGGCACCATGGCTCTCCTCCGGAGCCCTAGGCGCCAGCCCGGAAGGAAAGATCCACGCGGAAGCTTGCAGGAACTCCTCCAGCTAACACCAGACACTGGCCCTTACTTACCCATTTGCCTACTACTTCTCGAAATATCTGGCTGTGCTCCCGGCGAATACCTCGAGCCACACCCTTCCCCAAACAAGCTTGTCCCTTCCCGTTGGCACTGACTTCCTGTGGCTGCTGAAACAAATCACCACGAACGTGGCGCCTTGAAACAACAGAAATTCATTCCCTCGCCATCTGGAAGCCAGAAGCACGAAATCCGGATCACTGGACCAAAATCGAGGTGTGGACGGGGCTGTGCTCTCCTGAGGCAGAATCCGTCCCCTTGCTTCTTCCAGCTCTTGGTGGCTGCCTGTCACTCGTTGGCTTGTGGCCGGCTCACTCCAGTCTCTGCCTCCGTGGCCCCATCACCTTGTCGTCTCCTGTCTAGGATCTTCCCCTGCCTCTCACTTATCAGGACACATATGAAGGCATCCAGGGCCCACCCAGGGAATCCAGGATAAGCTCCTCATCTCAAGATCCTCAACTTACCATCAGCAAAAGCCTTTTATCCCCAGGAAATATTTACAGGCTCCAGGGACAAGGACCTCGTCCCTCTGGGGCCCTATTTTCAGACTGCTGCACTATCCCAGACAGTATTTCCACCGGAAACGCCTTGTCTTCCTTTTACTTGCCCCGATCGTGGCAAGTCCTTCCACAAAAGCATCTATGCTCACCACGGCCAATGATGATATGTTCCCTCCCTTCGTGCTACGGGTCAGTGGGCCATCCATCTTGGTACTCCCACCCACACTCGGAAGGGGGCGCTACCCAGAGAGCTGTCTCATGGAAGACCCTCCCTGCACAAGTAAGGATCATATACAAGTAGCAGATTCACCACGAGTGTGGATTCTGCATGCCGAATGCTTTCTGAGAGTGAGTGTGGGCTCCAGCAGACAGAAAACCAGCCTGTGAGCTGTGAGCGACCCTAGGCTCCTGGCCAGGCGCATTAGCTAATTAGGTCCACAGCCAAACCCCGAGGCCTCAGATTGTTCATGTGTAAAATGAACTGGGTTGGCCACGAGGATCCCTAAAGTCCTTCCAGGCCTTTTCTGGGGATCTGTGGACATTGTTAAAGCGTTTAAGAGAAGAACAGGAAGCCTGTGTTCTCCTTCATACCCTATTAATCTGCTGTTCAAACGCCCCTCTTTTTTTTCCATTGAGGATAAAGAAAAAATTTCAGTCTGGTCCAAATTCTGAATCAGGGGTTTGTCTGCACTTCTAGGGCTTTTCTCACCAATGAAACATGCCCAAGATTCCCTAAGGCGGCCATATGTTTTCCTACCAAGTCCCAGGTGGCCTGGAAAGAGCTCAGAGCCACAGCTCAGCTTGAGGTCATGGCACTCGGCACTCAAGGACAGTGGGGTAGAGACCACAGCCTCATATGGCCTGAGCCCAGATGCCAAGGGCAGGCAGATGCAGACACGGGGTCTCCCGAGGTGGGAAGTCAGTCTGGCTCAGCCCTGCAATGGGGGCAGGCTTCTCCCTCAGCCTCCATCTCCCCTTCTGAAAAATGGGTTGGGTTCCTGCCTCTACATTAGGCCTCTACTTTCAGAACTGGCACAAAGCACGCAGCAGTAGAAAATGTCAGGTGATGACAGGGGCCGAGCCTGGAGTCAAAGAAGAGTCCGGGGTCCTAGGGAGGCCATCTGGATGGCCAGCTTCGGGCTGAGCTCTGCCCCCTGTCCTTCTTTCCCAAGTCACATCTCCACCCTCCTTCCTCTGACTCAATCCTGAGCTCCCTGGCTATTGCGTTCACTCTGACAGGGCGATCACCTTCTGTTGACAGGGCCTGGCCTCATTCCTGGGGTCCCTTGTGTGTCCTAGACTTTACAAATGAACAAGCCTGTGTCCCTACACTGGATGCCCCGGAGAGGCCGGGCCAAGGATGCTTGTGAACTTGGCCTGGAAACAAGGGCCTTGATGGGTGTGCCTCCTGTCCCCTACCTCACTGCCTGGGCTACTCAACAGTTGTCCCTGGCCTTGGGCCCCTGCCATCAGACAGCGTCCACCCCGGAACTGCCCTGTGAAGGGACAGGTTCCCCCGAGGCTTCAAACCCCCACGGTTTGCCCTTCTGCCGTAAGTAACCAGGCCAGCCCTGCTCCAGCCTAAGCCGGCACAGCGCAGGTCACATCAGCTTAGAGTTCTGTGCTTCTGTGCCATCCCCCACCCCCAGAAGTGGGACAAAGCTGTACTTCTGTTTGCCCTCCTGGCTCCCAGGTACAGTGTGTGTGTGTGTGTGTGTGTGTGTGTGTGTGTGTCTGCAGAGGCTCACTAACTTCATTTTCTTTCAAAGTAACAGAGAGGGACCAAAAAAAAAGTACAAAACTAGAAATCCATAACGGGAACCTCTGGAGATTTAATCCTTCCAGGGTTGGGAAAGCCCAGGCAAACAAGAAGCTTATTAGAAGGAAATGGGTCTTGCAGCCGAAGACATGTGATGTGTGCCTCGTTTTATTTTTATTTTTAATAGCAGAACAGGGTGTGAGAAATATGCCCATAAAACCCGCGGAGACCCGGGCGCAGGCCAGGACCCCCTGCCTATGGCTACGGGGCAGCCTGCTGGTGACACAGAGAGGCTCTGGCCACTGGCCACATCCTTGGGAAGTGAGAACCGCAGATTGAGTTTCAGGAGCAACCCAGTAACATGGACTGCTTTTCCCTGGAATTTATCCCTTCTCTGGGCTAAAGTCCCCGGTGCCTCAGAATTACATAAGTGTGCTGTGCTTTTGGTCTTTACGTGCATTTCATGCTCACACAAGACGGGCACATGAGGCAACAGTATACGATTCTGCCACCTCCAAGATGCCTTTGCAGGCCACGGTAGAGGGGACAGTGGCGGTGACAAGAGCCTGTTCCACTGCCCGTTTGCGGGGTATGAAAGTGAACGCGTAAGTGCCCCTCTTCCCTGATGTCCTGGGGCCAGGCAAGGTCTGGACAAGAAATCGCGCTGCTCTAGAGCCCAACAGATTTACTTCTCGTTAAGCCAGCAAGCGTATTTTCTTAAAAATATCAGAGCCACCACTGGACCACTTGCCTCATAGGTACTAGGCTTTGGTCTCCTGACGCTGCCTAGGGACATAGCCAGTTGGGCAAAAACCCCAGCAGAGGCCGGGCTATCATACAGAACGGACTCGCCCATCGGGCCGCCCCAGTACAGTGCGCCTGAGATGATGACATCCCGACACCAGACACCAGCCAGAGTCCACAGGCGTCAGCTAGCGTTCTGGCCTTGAAGAAGTAGCGGAAATTCATAGTGCTCATTTGCAAACTCGCCTCGGTAATGAAGAACAACAGTTTTTCCCATCTCAGTCCCCGTGAGATGCAAAATCTGTTTAGTCTCCCCAGAAATGTGTCTTTAGGAAGAGTACAGGCTTTAGCCACAAGAAGTGATCGCTCTGTTAACGAGCCAGATGTGTTCTGTCGATAGACGTCACTGAGAAATGGCAAAACCGGAGACAGGCAGATCCACAAGGCAATTATTAAATACCCACATAAGTGGACCAGAAAGTACGATATAGGAGCCTCCTGGTCTTTATTCAGGAGAATTAAGCTGGGTCGATGAGAAAAGAGATTTCGAGGGCTTTCCACCTTCTCTGTGAAAGACAAACGAATACTTAGAGGTGATTAATACAGTCATTCATTCAATGCAGAGTTGCTGTTGACTTAATACAGGCCATCTGCTGTGCTAGAACAGTTAGGTAGCAAAAGGAACTTTCCAAGCTATGAGAAGATTATAGCCTATTTGGGGAGACAGGGAGGTAACGGGATCTTAATACCAGAGAACGGAAAGAGCAATAATCCAAATCCACACAAAACCTCTTGGACGTCCTTCCATACAAGAGAGATGACTCTTTGAAAGCATCACACCGGAATTGTCTGACATTAAGAGATGAGGGCAAGATGGCCTTGAGAGCCTGCAGATGAGTTGGGGGGGAGGGGTTGCCACCGTTTGCCAACGGTGGCCTGTGGCCAAATCCAGCCCCCCCCCCCCCGCGTTTTGTAAATAAAGTTATTTTGGAATGCATCCATGCTTGTTCATTT